TTCTTAACCGACTTAGATGACTTATTTCTGTTTTTTTTTTTCCGCCTACGTCTGACAAAATTACAGCGAATGTAACGTTTAGGCAAACTTAATGAGTGATGCTCATCAATTATTTATACTTCACCATGAGCTCGGAGAGTCAGGGGCTTATTTTTGGAGACCTTACTCCCGTTTTTGGATTTACCATGCTCCCAACCTCTTCGCGCCGCCACTGTGCGTATATAAATAGATGCAAAATCATCGCGGGAAAAGGTACACCTGAGTAGTTTTAACAGAATAAAAACGGTATTACTGTTAATATATCATCTCGGTTACATCTCCAATCACCAGCGTTAATGTAATGCCTCTGTTCCTTTGTGAACAATAGATGTTGTATTTTCACTTATTCCATTATCTTGTGCATGTCAATTCGTTGCCACCGACACCATTTTCATCCGGTTTATTCTTAATAACAAAATCTAGTAAATCAATACTTGTTATAATACCAAAAATTATCGGTTTCATTGTCTTCGTCAGTTTTTCATCATCTAGAAATAAACAGAAGAAACAATTGGTAGAAAATATAATCAATTCAATTATTCACTGTCCTTACATTCTTCATGAGAAAATTTGATAACAACATAGTTATAAACTTCTAATTTTTCACTTAGTTTTGATAATGGATCATCTAAACGAATCTGGAAGTAGACAACCAAGTTCAATGAGTAACAGAATGGCATGGTATATATTCATCTTCTTCAATTCCTCACACTTGATCAGAGCTCTTTCATGCATAATGTTCAAAACTATTTTTATACTTGTATCAGTTGAAACAGTAACTGGTTTGCGTATTTTCAGTTTACTAACAGAAATTGTGCTCCATCTATTTAAGCATAATACTTTCGAGAACTATCTTTCAAAGCACATGTATAAAGGCCCAAAGCTCTGACTGACCATAGAAAAGACTCTTGACAACTCCGGTTTGCTCCAGAATAAAAAGATGATCTCAATAGAAGTGTATTTCTCAAGCACATATATAAAGAAGTAGCAATACCATGTGTGAGTGATATTAATGGTAATATCACTTCGTGCATCATGTCCGCAAACATCTGAATACTGGCTACACTGAACAGCATAGGCTTCATAAGTGCCCCTGCTCCCCCCGTAAAGCTGGAGAGATCGAGACGGTCCTGGCTCTGCGAGCTACTTTGTTTACTCAAAGAAAATATAACAAAGAGAGAAAATATTCTCTACTGCAACCAAAAAAAAGGGAGAGGGAGAACATTTTTATTTCCACACTTTGTGCATCCTTGTGCGATTTCGATGATTTTTCTTTTTTTAAAAATCGTCAATTAGTTGCGATTAATTGTTGATTTTATGCGATTAAATGGTTTTTGTTATTCACCGTTTAATTCTGCCGTAAAGTATGTATATAAGAAACACGATTTCAACGAGAAATACACTTCTATTGAGATCATCTTTTTATTCTGGAGCAAACCGGAGTTGTCAAGAGTCTTTTCTATGGTCCCTCAGAGCTTTAGGCCGAGGAGTCCAGTTGGTATATGGGCAATGTCTAAAATCGACTCGTCGAAAAGGCTCCGACTTCAGCTGGTGCAAAAATCGTTCCTGGGTGACATATATGTCATTATACATAATAAACAACGGAAAAACAGAAAAAAATATGTATTTCCTGGAGGTCGAACCTAGTACCCAGAAAAAATCGTCGATTGATCGTTAAAATCACGTGCAAATTGCAATTAATCGCGATTAATCGTATGATTTTTCACGGTTAACTACCGATTTTTAGTACGGCGAGATCAAGAGGACTGGCTTTCTTTGGTCCTGTTCCTTTCGCGCAATTATTTAAACTTTAATATAAGATTACACACATTAGATCAATACAGAAATCCGTATAATCCAACTGCTCATTAGGACCAGATCTGTGCGCCGCTGCCACCGCCACCGAAGTTTTTGGGAGCTTCCCGTCGCCATCAGTGCTAAATGGTTTTATCCTCTGCCGATGGAAAAAGTTTTGAAATAAAAAAGTCATGAGAAATTAGAAAAACAGGAAGTTATATTGTAATTAGCCCCGCCGCTGATGATAGAAAAATTTCAAAAAAAGTCTTTTAGCTGCCGCCACCGATCGGAAAACTTTTGTTTCACTCCGCCTCCGATTTTCCGGCCGGCACACAGGTCTAATTATGATACAATAGTAGAAGAAATATTAGAAAAATGCGGCGGTATAAAACTGTTGAACTTGATATTTTGAAAACTTTCCATAGCTCTTATATCCACAATAAAACATTTGTAAATGACGCAGAGAATAAACGGTATCGCCTTGAATAACAAATCATAAAAAAGTAATGGTGTAAAAAGTACGTGATTCCCAGATACTATTTCGAGGGAAACGACAAGGTAGTTATGCAGGGTGTATCTTTGAAAATGCATGGTAAAAATAGATGATACATATATGACTCATTTGAAGAAAAGAAGAAGGTCAACAATAAACAAACATTCTGAATAGAAGAGAACAAAATGGGTGTGGCTAAAGTTCAGCATTAATTTTGTTTTTGATATAGCGTGGTGATGGAATATCGTAGAGGCTTTATTCTTCTTTTGTCAGAAAGAGCAAAATGTCTAGTACAAAAATATATAAAAGTGTTTAAGGGATGTTTTTAAGAAAAACGCATTTAACAAAATTAAAACTTATTTTGCATTTTTCTTAAGACTGCTTTTTAGCTTCAGGGCTTTCGCCATGTGCAGGAATTCTCGGTAACGGTACATTGGCGAAAGAAACGTTTTTCTTGATTTTTAGATAACACCTATAGGTAGGAGTTGACAGAGTCCGATTTTTGAATCATGCTTCTGTTTTTTATAGAAATGAGGATTTCTAAGAGAAACCTTCCAAGGATTTTCGGACTTTAAAGTTCTGTTACGCATCAGAAATCAGTAAATGAGAAATTCAAAAATTGGGCTCTCTCAACTCCTAGCGATAGGTATTTACTGCAAAACAAAAACAGCCCGAGCTCTCTATCATTACCTGGAATGAAAATTCCTACACGTGGTCGACGCCTATTTTTGGCCCTTGTTGTGGCATCCTCCTACGAACAGTTGCAAGTAGTGGCAAAAAAAAATTTCGTTACCACGCTTTGACATGGTTGACATTCCCTGAAAGTGTGGTTCAGATTAGACCTACCTGGGCTGAGACAGGTTTCTGACCCGTATTAATAATCTTATTTTTAATATCTTATATTAAATGATTACTTCTAGAAATTAATGATTCAATTTGAAGTCCTGATTTTTCCGGGGCATTTATGTAACATCTCAAAAGCCAAAAGTTTAGAGAAAAGCATCGAGAAGTTTTTCTATTTTATTATTGTCGATTTTATTTACATTCATATAATTGTATTATGCTTTTTAAGCCTTAGCACGCAGTCGGTATAGAATGCGCAGAGGTTTACTCAGAAAATATTAATAATAATAATAATAAATGAAATAAAAAGCAATAAAATTAAAGTTTTTCTGTAACTTGACTTCCATTTGAGTTCTTACTTTCTGACACATAGGGATTTTTTATCAATGAACTAGTCGGTTTATTTTTTATGGTTTGTCGATTGAACCGATCATAAAAGCCATCATTTTGTTTCGGTATTTGATTCGTACTATTGTGAGTAGTACTTACGATGGATAACGGTGTACTAGCTGTTGCTGTTCGGGCAGTAGGTTGTCTTACACCTGTTGACCTTTTAGACGTTTCTGTAATGTCTCGAATACTTCTCTGTGTTTGATTTATATTTTCGTTTGTTTTTTTATTCTGTCTTGCCGATGGGTTCACCACTGGGTGACCGATTTTAGATCCTATTTGATGTTGCACACTAGACGATTTTACAAGCTTGTCGGGTATAGCAGGAATAGATTGTTCTATTGTTGTTTCTTTCCGCGTTATCAGATGTCGATTTCCCAAAGGAATCGGCTTTTTTATTGAACCACCATCGTTTTGCGTTTTGACTGCTGAAAATATCTGTTCACACTCGTCAATGTGCTTTTGGAATTCTCCTGCGTGTTGTTTTGATTTCACCATCGTTTGATCACCGTTATATCCACTATCGTTATTTACATGCACTTCTGATTCATGACGGACTAACAGTGCTAATGACAATTGCATACATTGCAATTCAGCTGCTCGTACTTCCGATAATGTTCTCCAATAATGTTCTTGTGTTACTGGCAGTCGTACTTGAACGGGGATATTTGGGCTCACTAGCGTTATTTCTAAATCTGCTGTTCGACAAATTGGCACTTGATCACCATTCAATATGCTTTTCAACATCAGATAGCCATGAAATTCAACTGCCTTGATAGGTGGATCACCACGTAATAGTTTAACGTAAAGAACGGTATCAGTACCATGAGAATGTAAATATTCATATAAATTTTGAGTTGAGTGTAAATATCTCAACTCTAACGATCCGTCAGATGCTACTGGACGAATTTCAGACGGTTGTTCATTAACTTCAAGGAAAAAATGTCTCTTCCGAGTTTCATTTTTTGTTTCACAAAACAATGCGCGAACTACTCGATTTCGAATTAATTTTTCTTGTTCGACAATTTCTGTAGAAAATAACACAACATTGTAGTAGAAGTCTCGAAGAAAGAATATATTTTACCTACCAGGAAATAGAAATGTTAGAATTATTCCTTGGTTTTTTTTTGGCACTGACAAATAATCTTGAGATGTTCGTTCACCATTCGTAGGTGTATATTCAACTTCACAACCTGAAATTATTTCAAATTCTGTCCCTTCTTCAATTTTCTTCACTCTACGATCACTTCTTCGTCCGTTAACAATTAATGGTTGGTCTTTTTCTGTAAAAAGTTCAAATGCTTCAGTATCACGGATACAGATGAACGATCGCGGATTTATTCGTTGATTGTGTTTATCTTGTTCTAGAAGAATTTCTAAATCTTTTGTGGTTAGACGATGAATAGATTCTTCTTTTTTCAATGTCGATTTTGATATGACACGCCAAAGACCTTTTGATAGAAAAAAAATAAACATCAATTTTTCTCATATAATAATATCGTTGGAGTAAACTAACCAGTATGTTTACTCGATATGATAATTTCCTGTTCCATAACATCAAATCGATTTCCGACAACTTTACACGGTGATGCCGTTATAAATTGACCACTTATTTTTTCACCAACAACAATTGTTTTTTGACCAATTTGAACCATAGTCGGTTTTGGAATACTTGCATTTTCTATGAGATTTTTGAATGGTATACGTTTTTCGCTCCATACAATACGCTCCATTTTATCGTTATCGTTGTTTTAGTTCCGTTTATAGTCTAAAATAATATATCTGATGGTTTTGCAGATACGGTAACAGTTTTTCCTTTTTGATATCTTCATGGAATAGTTACAATAGGCTCTCAAGTGAGATTTTTAGATCAATCTGTGAAATATGGTATATTCTATACTGGTGCTCATGTATTTTAAAGGTCGTTTCAAACAGATCTCAGCATATTTCGGTGACCTGATTATCCAAACCTTACTCTATAATATACCGTTAATTGTATGTATACTACGTTTCTAACAAAATCATAACAATTTGTTTGGTACCCGTCTCTGTTCTTATAGGATATATAACGTCATATTTTTACGAATCATTTACTCATTATGGCTCTTTTTTTCTCATAAAAATATCATTTGATGCTTTGCCTTTTACCTGAGGATGAATAGAAAAAAATTTAAGCGTCATAATTAGTTTCAATTAGTGCAATATTTTTTTCTGTCTTTCGTTTTTTATTCATACGTATTTCACCACTTTCGTATATAATATAATTCGCACACCTAGTATGTAAAATGTAGGTAGCTTTTGACAGATGTATGAGATAAATATCAGTGAAATTTTATGAAGTCGTTGTATTTTGCTTAATAATCGTCCTTAGCTAAGAACAATAAACGAAGCAATTGAAGTGCGATCGCCTCGATCTGTTTTTCTCATTTTTCTAGAAATATTATAGAAAATCTAAGCTTAAGTTGATAGACAGCGTTAATTATTCATTCCATTCTAATGATATTTTGCAGTTATCTATTGAACTGATCCAATTGTGTACAATTTGTTGAATAAATTTCTCAACTCTATATTCCCGAAAGAAATAAGTATATAGAGCACAGGCAATAGTCATAATTCAAAAATTAGATAAATGTCTTGAAATTTTTATCTACTACGGGTAGAAATCTGGCAAATAGGCTGTGCAAAAATGACGAACCATCTTCAATATATACTTCATATTACTTAAGAGAAAATCTTGGTATAGAGTGAGATCAACTATGGAGGAAAGAAGGTTAGGCACATCTATCGAGACCGCCACTAGTTATGCATTCTCGGTCGTAAGCAATAATTGATATTTTGTTTACACACATCTAAAAAGAAAAACAAGCACAATTTTTCCCCCAAAACTCATAGTGATAGGTATTCCCATATGTGATTATAAAATCTATTCATCTGATGTTAGATTACTGTATTTCTTCCATAATCCAGTAGTGAGAGACATGTTTCTATTCTTTGTGAATAAAATTAGTAGCATCACTTGTATGTATGTGTATGTGATGAATGGTATTAAAAGTAGAACTAAGCATTAATTTTTGTTGCAATGGCATAGTAAATCGAACATAAAAAAACATGATTTTTCGCTCGCTCTCTTTCTGTTCATTATCAATATATCACCGCCAGAAAGTGTCTGGTAGAACATTTATATATTCTTTTGTTACGTTATGTTCACATTATTATCGTAAAAAAATACGTTCAGTTTTCAATACAGATGTACCGCACATCGTCTGTCTGTCTGTCTGTATTTGATGAAAAAAAGTTCATAAGCTAACAATGAAAAATGAACGATTAAATATTTTTCCATTATTATAGTACTACGAACTAAACTACAGACAGTTTGTCATAAATGTATATACACATTATTTGTTCCAATTGCTCTCAGAAGCTTCATATACAGATACTCTTTTTTTATGTATGTACGAGAGAAACAAAAAATATAACCATCCGAACAAGAACATTTAATGAAACGGTGTGTTCAATATCTGCTACAAACAGAAAAAATTAAATTAATGAAGTCAGATGTCGTTGTTACTTGAATCTTTTCTTTTTTTTATATTGCTTATACGGATGAATCGGTATGTCATGAAAAAATAAAACAAATGGCATACAGATTATAAACTTTTTAAATAGCTGGAGAAAAAGTAAATAGCACAAGCAGAACGCTGTGAATCAAATCTTTTTTCAGTCCAAATCGATCTAGAAACGTAAACTTACCAGTCGAGACTAAGACTAGATTCGGATTTATTTTTGTATGGCTTTGAACAGTAGTGATTTCCACATGAACAACAGTATACGATGTTATCTTACGAGATATTCATATCATATCCTTCATTCATTTGAGAGAGAAACAATAATTGTTGCCAGATAGGTATTCAATCGTATATCTGAGAATTGAATTTAAAAACTCGATTTAGACAAACACAATGTGCGAAGTTTTTGCAAAAAATTTATTGTTTTTGAACGGCAATTAAATCAAGCCAGATTTATCGTGTTCAATAAGTAACTGAAAGAAAAAGTCTTTTTATTTCTATTTTTTTGTTTGATCTAATGGTTAAATTTGTTTGTATCAACCTGTATTTATGTTTACTTGTTATTTTTTTCTCCAATTGTCTAATAATATTTGATATCACTAGATAATCTTTGAAGATAGAGAAAAGTTAAGTTTATGTTTTTTTTCATTACCACATAAACGATTCGTGGAACAAAAAAGAAGAATTTTATGTGTATCATTTTTATTATGAGCTGGCTAGTACATAGAGACTCGCGTCTATACAGAAATGCAGACGATGGTGAAGGTCCGGTCACAAGAGGACCGAAAGGTGACCTCGTGTATGTTTATGTGTGCATTCTCCTGTGATCGTCTGTTTTATGTTTGATCGCATCGCATAGCATAGAAAAGAAAAAAAGCGAACAAAAGAAGAGAAAAAAAGACTGTTAGCCGTTGTTACTATTACGTATTCTTTGCCCAGACATTCAAAATTCACCGTAGACTATATACAGATGATCTATGTCCATCAAAAAAAAAGAAAGAAATAAAAAAAGTCCATGGGCTTTATCTTGAACACGATAAGAAGAGTAAGAGAATACCATAAGTATGTTTATAAATTGAATTCTAGTTATTGCTTCATATCTGAGATGTACAATTCTAATGTCTGTCTGCGGTAATTTTTGTTGAACACAGAAAGCATAAAAAAAAATATATTCTTTTTTTCTTCTCTTCTCTAGATGAAGAATACAAAGATGGTGGTCAAGTGGTCGCATCGCTCATAATTTTTTTTTCTTTCTTTCGTTCACTTTTTAACTATGATCTAGATTCTGTTGAACTAATGTATTTAATTCACTATAACCTTGAAAATTGCATGCTTTATATATTTCTCTTTCTTCTTAAAAATTCTACATAGAATAGAAAAAGCAGCGAGACAAAGTCCAAAGTTATTTCGGTGAAAGATGTATAAAAGTTATATATTCTAATAATAGTATGTATTGACTATGCTCTACACGCATACAATACAAGGAAAAGAAACCGAAATATTCAATAGTAGGAGGAGAGAAGACGATGGTCATTGTTGTTAAAGACGCAATCACGAATAAAAAAAAAAGAACTTTTTTTTTTCTCTTCTTCTTATATTTGTTGGTCTAACTAGCCATAGTACTCTCGTATATGTGTATAATACTAATGTCTGACATTAGTGGATTCAAAATGCAGGGGAAAAAACTGTATGTCTATACATAGTCGATAGAAAACAGACAAGAAAAAATATTATTACTATTATTATTATTATTATTATTATTATGGTCAGCATACCAATGAACGTCTTATAAAATAAAAAGAGACAAGCAATTATAAAAACGAAAAAGAAAACTAATGTTAGAACAAGACTAATCAGCTCAATATTTTTAATAAATTAACAGTAATAAATTTTTTAATATTAAAGCTGGATGCAGAACAAAGGTGAGCGAGAGATTTCTTATTTTGTGCTTATATATCTTTGAAATCGTTTCAAACGAAAATCTTTGAAATACACCAGGTATTTAATAGAACTAGTAACAATTGGAATAAAGGTAAAAACATTGTCGATATTAACCATATAATTTTGACTGATTTCAGATACGACTTGTCTAAATGATTACATTTTTTTATGCTATTGACGAATATCATTTACATAAACGTTTGGATACTAATAAAAAAAGCTGATTATTCATGATTTTCACTTGTGCAGTTATTGTTATTGTCGATCGACTAAATTTTCCTTCTTTATCTGTTTTGGAGCAAAGCTTTACATAGCATAAGAAAAGCAAAAAGAATTCCTAAAATCACTTAAATTCTCCTCTAATACTCAGGTATACATGAAGCTTATAGTAGTAGATCTAAATGATTAACACGTTCAAAAGTCAAAGACATTGCATGCATCTTGTACATATAGTCTGCATAGAGGTGAAAAACGAAGGAACAAAAAAGAAACAGTATTGAACAGTTGCTTCATGTCTGTAGTAAAGAATTATTATTTAATAAAAAGAGAAAATTGTGTCTACGGTCAACGTAAAACAAAAGACCGTTCATCTCATCTTAATCGTTTGAACTAATCATTGTCAAATAGTTACGTTACATGGCATAGACGTTTGTGTATGAAATTAATAGGCGCCGTTTTTACATCATAAGAAGGATTTTAAATTGACATTTGATATCTTTACGTAAGAAAGAGAGAGAAAGAAAACAAAAATAAATAAATATTATGTACATAGTTTTTAGACCAAATAAGATACAATGTGGTTTTTTGCTGACTAAAGCAATCACTTAGAAATAGACAAATTTCATTGAATACAATGAATAATCAAGAGCGTATTCCCTTCCTTCTCCTTTCCTCATGTTACGATGGTATATAATGCGATATCTCAAGACTATACTTCTCAGGTGCACTCATTGATGAAGAAGAAAAAAAACAATGGTTTATCATAGTTCATTTCACTATTATTATATTACATCACAATATGTCGTAGTGGTTACATATATTTTACATCTATAGATTCAATATGTATGTATGTACTATATTATGTTCACGAAACAACTAGACATTTCGGTAACAATCTCTGCGTGTTTTTTTTTCCTTTTTTTTTCTTTACTGTTCTATTTATGGACAACAAACAAAACATACAAATACTCGGACAATTGGATATTACGCAATGTCTTCTAGATGTA